CTCCCCGGGAGGAGCCGGGCCTGGAGCCGCGCCGGGCCCGGGGCCTGCGGGCCGGGGACAGCACTGACCTCGGCACCGGCCCGGCCGCCTCCGCTGCGGGTGCCAGATGGAGTGGGACCGCGGCGGGACGGGCTGGAGCAGCGGGAGCGGGCGGGACGGATCCCCCGGGGCCGCAGCGGGAGTGGGAGTGGGAGTGGGAGTGGGAGTGGGAGTGGGACGGCCCCGCGGGGAAAGGGGCGAGAACCGAGGGGACACCGGTTCTCTGCGGGGGCAGAGACAGGCACTGCCAGCTCCTGCCTGTGCCCTGCCTGGTCCCTGCCAATTCCCTTTTTCCTGGAGAAGCCGCGGCTGCCCCATCCTTGGAAGTGTTCCAGGCCAGGCTGGATCGCTCTTGGAGCACCCTGGCCTAATGCAAGGTGTCCCAGCCCATGGCCGGGGGTTGAACGAGATATCTTTAAGGTCCATTCCAACCAAAACCATTCTGTCATTCCACGATTCTGTGAWCCCTGCCCATCCCCTGCCCTGTCCYGGTTGAGTGCTCACACCAGGGCWAGGAGCTGGGAAACAGTTCCAGTGGCTCCCTGGCACAGGAAATTAAATGTCMCTTGACCAATATTACTCATTCAAGGGCAAAATGTAAAGCCACCAAGTCTAAATGTATKTTAAGGACAATTCATTGCACCCTTYTCCCTTCAGCTGGTGCACTATATTTTTTTATTTCTGTTATTCTTACTACTCGTATTATTTCTGTTCTTCAGTCCTCTCTAGGATGTTTCTGGTTGGTGCACCTYGTGGGCTGCAGTCCTGGACCTGTCTGGAAAGTCAGGAAGTATTATCCCTGTAAAACCCTGAGGGTCTCTGCTTTTGCAGATCCTGCTTTGCRAGGAAATAAATTTTCTTCAAAGGGAAGGGAAGGGACAAGATATTCGAGTATTTGTGTCCTGGTAGGCTCTAAAAGCRTGCATGAGTGATGGCGCACATGAAGCCTTCCCCTGGGAAACGGCATCCTTGGAGGAAACGCTTCAGCAGACCCCAGGGATCCCAGTCTGGCTCCACAGGAAGGCAGCTTTCCTTCGTTCTGCTGCTTCCAAACCCCTCKGTGCACCGGCACATCTCCATCTCCCCACCCTCACCATCAGTTCCAGCACTCGGGATGCTCACACAGGGCCTGAGGAGCTCACTCACGGTATAAACCGGGCTGGTTTGGGGTGAGGCGCACACCGAGGCGCTGCGGATGGGAGCAGCGTTCCCCATGGATGATCTCCAGCTGCTTCCGGCCTCTTCTCCCCCGCGCTGGATCGTTTTGCTGTGCCAAGCGTGTAATTATCGCCTCTGCCATCTCTCGAGCTGGGCCGCGGAGCAGGTGGGAGGATGTTTGTTCAGAGTCCCACCAGCTGGGTGCTGGGAGCAGCAGGAAGGGCAGCGGGGATGCGGTGGGGGAAGCGGTGTGGCTGGGATGTGTGAGGTGCCTATGTCCCTCTCCAGGAGGGAATGAACAGGGCACAGCCTCCAAATTGTTCTCCTGGCACCAAGGGGAGGGTGTTCTGGTGATGCCAGTGCTGCCAGCTGGGAAAGGACAAGGTCTGGCTGAGGACTGGAAAGTGAGGAGGTGCAGAGGGATGTCACCCCAGCTCTGTCTCTGTCACCCCAGTGCTGCAGAACCCCCAGTGTCCTGCCACCAGCTCGGTTGTGTTTAGGACAGGGARTGACACCTGAGCCTCCATGCCCTTTCCACTGCCAAACTCCCTCTCCATGGAAATTTTTCCATGTGAGAGGGAAAGAAGATGTTTGTGGCAGCAGGGCCCCTCTGTGCTGGCCTTCATCYCACCTTGGACACATCCCTGCTGCTGTGAAGGAGACAGAGAGGGCTTTCTGCAAGGGCTGGATTTTATTTTGTGTCCCTATCCCTCCTCTTCTCCCCATGGCTGCCTTTTATCCAGCTCTCCCTTTCTGAGCACCAAGCTCACGAAGAGGATATCGCCCTCAGCTTTCCCAAGTCCCTTCTCTGCATGAACTCTCTCAGTGCCCTTTGAAATCTCACCAYGGTCCCAAGAGGCCCCTGATGGATATGGAGTTGCATCATGGTGAAGGATGCAGAATGTGTGTTAGCAGGACACTGTGGCTTGGCAAGATGCACTTTGTTCAGGAGCATTTCAAACACAACCCAGGAAATTCCCAACATGTGGAAATCTAGGGCAGGGAGTGCTGTTGAGTGGTTTTCCCWTAGAAATGGGACATCGGTTGGGAAATTGCAGGCCAGTAACTTCAGCACAGAGGGCCATCTCTCCATATAAGAACMGGAAAAATTTCCAGGCCAAACAATAGGTTTCCTTGCTGGAAGAACAAAAGAAAACCCTTTTTCCTGTTCCTTTTTGCCCACGTCCCTGTGTCATGGTCCCCATGTTCAAACCTGCCCTGAAATAAAGCTGATCCCCGTGGTTTTAGCTCTTGCMARCCTGCAAGGRCCTGTGCYGATGGGCCACAGATCAAGGACAGAGCAGTGAAACGTGTGGTGATGAACAACAAACAGTGCTGGAGCACAGAGCTGAAACCTTGGGGAGAAGCAGCAAAACTGCAGCTACTCCTGTGTCCTCCATCAGATAACRCGCTGTCACCGGCGCTGTGATGCTGCAATCCAGACCTGCAATCCTGGTGGAAATCCTCTAGTGTTTGTGCTGGAGGTTAGTTCTATTTATTTTCTGATGAATGATTTACTCGAGTAATTGGCACACAGCTCCCCTATTACAGATCATAAAGAATTAATCACGAGATTTTCAATGCTCCCCTATCAATTTTATTAGGCTTGATTGAGCGCGGCGGATTGGGAGCATATGGTATGCGAGGCAGACTCTGCTCCCAGTTACACCCTGGTTATGCTGAGGACTCGCTCAGCTGCTGATCCCTGTAAATCCAGAGAGACAGCTGCTCCTTTCCTCCTTTCCATGCCCTCGCTGTTCCTCGAGTTCCCTTAAATACCCAGGGATACRGAGAACAACCAACACCACCTCCACGTACCCAAATTCTCCAAAAGCCTGAGATGCTCCCAAAGTGGAAGCCAAGCTGAGTAGAGGGTGCTTCGCTTCCAGCTCGTCCGTGTATCAGCATGAGCCAGGAACTGGAGCCAAATACTTGGGAGCTCAGGATGTGCCCCTGCGAAGGGGACGTGTCACGGCGTGGGAGGYTTGTCACTGGGGAAAGATGAGGATGCCTGTGTTGGCGTCAGGGAGTCCTGCCAGCCAGGTTTGCCCACGGGAGATGCTTTCTTGGAAGAATTGGCAAAAGGAAGCCCTAACACCTGCAGGAGCRGGATGACACATCCCTGCCCCGAACCAGCAGCACAGCGTGACTCCCTGGAGCAAAAACCTTCTTAAAAGCCACATCCCCTGCATGGTTCCCCTCACGCAGAGAACCAGGAAAACCTTCAAAATTTCCAAGTGGAAGGCTCGTAGTCCTTCCCTTGCTTTTCACCCGTGGGTGTTGTTGCCATGCATACGTGGTTTTTGGGAAGGGGATGGTGCATGGCCCCTTTCCAGCCCGTGGGCAATGCTCACCTCAGTGAAGCTGCTCCCAGTAACTACACCAGGATCTCAATAGGTATTTACAGGAGGGAATGGGAGCTCTGGGAGTAGATGGAGCTCCTTGCATAAGCCCAGCTTATCCTGAACTAGGCTTGCAAAGCAGCCAGCCTGGCTCAGCTTCAAGCCCCATCCCCATCTGCTGCCTCGAGCAGCTGCATTGAAGGGCACCGAGAAGTTATTGCCAGTAACTGTTGGCAGGAGCCAGTGTGGAAACCTCCCTCTGGGAGAGCTGACCTGGGGAGGGAAAATCAGGAATGCAGCAGAGGACAGAGCAGGATTTGGCTGTTACAGAGTCAGAACATTTTGTAAACACACGGTCGTGGTTCAGGAGCAGAGCGAGCAGGATGGTCTTGCCTGGCTTCAGTGTGCCCAAGTGATGGGGCTGCCTCTTCCCTGCCCTGCCKTGTCACTGCCCCCTGAACCAGCTCTCCAAAGCCTTGCCGTGTCCGTGCTTCTGGGTGAACAGCCCTGGCAAAGCCCCCAGGCTCTGGGGTTTTTGCCACACTGACTCCAGGTGCACAAAGCTGTGTCTCGCCCGGGTGCTCTGCCCTGGCACAGCCGCAGCTTGCACTGCTTTG